CCTGTCTTCTGCAACAATGCCGATTGTCCACATTATGTTCGCCTCCTGGTTTAAAACTGCTTTTAACTAGAGGCAAAGCTTCCACATTCAGCCACCAATAACTACGCAGTTTTGCAAAGCCTTTGGAGGTACAGTCTGCCTGCGTGACAACATGCAAAACAAATCTGTCACGCACGCAACTACTATTATGTGCTAAATTGAAATCAATTATTTAAGACAGAATTAGTGGTCCAGGTTTTAGAATACTAAATATCAGTTAAAGTGTGCCATGCACACACGGCATTGCATTTCACAAAACTCACTTAGAATTAACCCCAAAGTGGTCTGTTGGAGTTAATAATAACCTCAACTTTCAATATAATTTTCAAATAGAATAGTCTTTGAAACTGTTTTTGCCTGCTTTATGAAAGCAATGCTGTCTTGATACTTAGAAAAAAAAAAAAAAAGCCCATATTGGGTTTATTTAAAACAGGATTATCACAAATAAAATAGTCAAACCCAGAACCTCCTCCCTCCTTCTGCCCAAGTGTTCCCAGCTTGGTGTTTGGACAGAAGAGGCCATGGGAATGTCAGGAGCAGTATCATGTAAGGAAGGTTATTCAAAAGGAGGGAAGAAGAGATGGAATATACATTTGACTTAATTATGTCACACCAAAAGTCCATTTAAACCCATATCCTGTCCTTAACAGAGGCCAAAAAATGAGAGCGTAGAGCAGATACAATGTGGACAGCATATGTATGCTCATCTTCAGCTATGTGCTTCACCTAATCTCCAACCACGTGCAGCCTGAGGAATTCTGAACTTTAACGTGGCTTTTAGAAATTTGTATGCTAAATGGGTAATCCTCAGTTCATTCCTCTTTAACAAACTTATGAATTTTCCCTAAACACAACTAAACTGTAAGCACCCAGAATTTCCCATGGCAGAGTTCTGCAAATTACCCAGATATTGTGCAAAGAATTACAATGGCACATAAAGAGCCAGACTTCTTCCTAGTGTCACCTGACTTCATCAGGGACCCTGCTTTAAGCAGGAGGTTGGATTTGCTCATCCTCTGAGATCTTTTTCCAAACTGAATTATCCTGTGATCCTTTTATAGATATTGGTAGGTTTTACAGATACCTGTAGTTTCCCTCCACAGTTTTTCTTCTTCCATCCAGATGAATGCCAGCCAACTAAGTTGCTTCTTGTATATAAACCATCCCACATCTTTGGGGCATTTTGGCCTTCTCCAGTCCTACAGTAGTTTTTCTGAGACAGAAGCATCCACAACCTTCAAGATGGAAGTGATGGCATGTATTTTTGCAGTGACTTCGCCATATTCCCTGCTCTCTATTCATTTCCTTACAATTTACATTTGATCTGCTTTTTTGGCCACCATTATGTCTTGCAATGATATTGACAGACAGCTATTTATCAGACTATAACATCAAGTTGTCAGTCTTGTGTGGTAAGACCTCAGAGTTCATCACTGTCTATGGAAAGCTAGGATTGGCTCCCTTCTGAGCTCTCAAGAGTTCTCTTGGCTACAGGAAAAGTAGCTGAAGCACACAGGTTGCAACCCTTTGCTGGTGAAAGAGGAAAACTTTTGTAAAGTTTTTGAAAGGGACTTATTCAGGGCACTTGTGTTGCAGCACACAATGTTGTACCACTCTTTGCTTTCAGGAACCCAACTGTTGAATAACACAAGCTTGTTCACAAGCCCAAAATCAGTGCTTGTTGCAGAAATCAATGAATGCGAAAAAATAGGCACCTAAAGACTGGAATTCACAAATATCCATGCATTGAATATGCTGGGGAGAGACAACACAAAGTGCTAAAGTCAAGGCATGGGTTACAACCCCAACTCTCAAAAGAAAGCTTTCCTTCAACTCAGGTTTCACAGCTCTGAGCTCTTAGATACTCCTAGTCTCCTCACGCAGACAGACCCTTCTCAGAATGTAAAGTGTTACAAGTTGCATTTGCTTAAGTTCTTCACCAGGGAAGGTGAAGGTGCTCTAAGTGCAAATCCTCCTTCTCACTGATAAGGAGCAACATGATGTAGCCACAAACATCTGCAGGGCAGAGTATTGCTCCTTTTTCCCTAAAGCACACAACCAGTGTATCAGCGAGGACTGGAGCATCAAGAGTCCCAGCTGAGTGTCCCAACCTCCACACAAAGTTTTTGCTTCTTGGCTAGCAAAACCATTTGATCTAAAAATCAGCATTGACCTGCACCGCACCAATTCATTGGTACAGCACTGTTGGGTTGGATATGCTGGAAATTCCATTCAGATTACAGATAATCACTGTCCTTCACAATTAAAAATTCCACAGGCAAAAAACTCTTTTCCTGCAAACAACTATCTAGGAAGTTTTTCTAATTTGTACAAGCCAGTTTGTGGTATGATTCTTTTTATACTCACATTCAACATACATATACAAAGTACACAGCAGAACTCATCTTCAGTAGCAAATTTTATCTATTTACTTGACACATTTACTTATCTTGCTTTCAAAAGCAATTTCCTAAACACTAAGCTATTCTGAAAAGCAAAAAAATGCCACAGCTTGTAATGCTTTGGTACATACGATATTGAGTATTCTGCTCACCATGGAAGTTGAGCAAATATAATGCAAATTTAGTAGATTTCATTCAGCAGGCAAAGGGATTTGGTTAACATTGAATTCAGTGGTCACTAATCCCACTTTCCCTGTCCCTTTCCACCCAAGTAACACAAATATTTAAATTCTCCAAATGGTAAAGTTCAGCATCTTGAGCCCTGTTAAATCTTGTAAGCCAAGGTAAATTTCATTTCTCTGATTAAATAGAGACTATTTACAAAGATCGTAAATAAATAGTGTGTGTGAGTTCATGTTCTTTTTCATACTGCCTGATTAAGCTCTTTTTACTTCGACATCATACAGAATAATGTTTCCGCTACGCATTTTCGTCTAAAAGAAAGAAAAGGCAGTAAAGGAATATAGCATTTGAGGCATGGAAACTTGCAAGAAGGTGCAAATAGACCCGCGCCTTGCCCAAGGTCTCTCTGTACGGCATTTCCACCATGCTTTCCTCTTAATTCCATCCTGATCACAACTGGTTTTGAAGTGAGGTTGTCTCTCCAAGATGTTCAGTGCAATTGTTTTTAGTCCTTTCCATTGATTCTAATATAGCTTTACATAGAAAAATGTCTAAGTAAAGGAAAAGAAAAAGAAAAAAAAAAAGAAACTAAATATAAACAACTCCCCAAGTAGTAGTATAACTACTGGGAAAATATCACTAGAGAGTCAACCAGTTTTGATACCATAAGAATGTTAGCCCTCATTCCCTCAGTGGTTCTCCACAAAAAATTAAATGCTGTATTATGAGAGCCCATCTATAAATATTCAAAATACTTGTGGCAAAAGGCCTTGTAACAGTTGCTGCTTAGAGGTAGCAATCCCTGTCACAGATTAGGAAGGACTCCTTGAGCATTAGGACAGCTCTATTTCACATTTGCCATTTCAGTGCATTTTCCTTCTCTCTTCCGGAACATTTCATGCCCACTTTTACAACTCTGGACTCAAAAGAACTCAAGACAGTGGGCACAAAATGATGCCAAGGGCAATGGCTACTCTCAGACTTGGGATATTCAAACATACAAAGCTGGGGCCAATGAGCTTCACCTCAATTCAGTCATGAACCAATCAATGGTTGGAGAATACAGAGTCTCAGAGCCCACGTGAAGTTTGGTAGGTCATCAGTCGTATTTTCACATGCAGTTACCACTGCAGCTTTCTTCAAAACAACCATCTCCAAATAATGCCCAAGAAGAAACATCACCACTTAAAAACAAAGACCACTAATGCATTTATTCATGTTCTAAACACAAAAACAATGGCTAACTTTGGAAAAAAGTACACAAAAAAACCCAACAATTTTGAAAGCAATTTTGAAATGCAGCACTACTATAGCACAGATCTCACTGCTGCCTTCTAATGCAGTTGTCAAGATGATGGAATCATACTGTTGCATAAGTAAACATGGCAAAATGAAAATTGAGATTTTTGTCTCATGACTGTTGCTACCCTTCCGTGTGCAACAGCAGGCTGAATACTGGTTAAGCCATTTCATGAGTTAGATCAAAACTCTATACCACTGTTATACAAGTGTCTTCAAAAATAGCAATATCAAAGTGAAGAAAGTTCAAAGATAAGGCTGTTATTTTGTTTTATGAGTAATAAAAATGTATAAATGATAGAAACATCACAGAAAAGGAATATATGTCCTTGTGAAAGCAAGGCGCACTGCCACAGGACTGAATTACAGGTATTTTTAACACAGCAAGTCAAACTTGCACAGAAAATAACTACCTTAAAAATTCTAGTTTTTCATTTTAATAAGGACAAAATATCACAGGAGACAGATGAGAATTATGTAGCATCCTTTCCACCAAACTGCCTGTGCCATGGAAAGTGCATTTACAATGAGCTGAAAGAAATTTAAATCACTGTATACTCAGTCCCAGAAGCTGCTGCTCAGATTAATCTTGACCCAGAAAAAGAGCCAAGTACATGCTGAACTTCACGTAAGTAAATAGTCTCAGCTAACTGTCTAATCACAGGGCCCCACACATTTTGGGACAAATGATGCAGAGCCTGTCTCCAATGGAATCAACAACAAAAAATCGACCTGGTATGGCAACAGCAACCCATATTTCATTAGCCCTGTGAATAATTACAAGATAAACTGATTAATTCCAACTTGCTGCTGCAGAAGCTACAGTCTGTCAGTCACCTCAGAATAAAGACAGAAAAGTTACCTCTTATTTATAGCAAAGAAGGAGCCTACGCACCAGGAGTTACTGCAGTTAGCTGACTAAGCTCATGCTTCAGCTTGTGCCACAGTAGCTTGCCTATTCACCTCTGTCTTAAAGTGTTAACAGCCTTGCTGTTCAGAAGTTCCTGGATTTTTGTTTTGTTTAGGCGTCTTTTTTTAGCCATCTAGATTTGTAACAAAATGCAAAATGAAGGATAATTAGGAAAAGAAAGAAAAGAATAATGTTACCTGAAGGCCCTCTATGGCTAATCTAAGCATGCTTGGTGTGAGCTTGGAGGCCTGCTTGAAGGTGAAGTTGCTCCAGTCTATAATCAAAACAAACCCATTCACTTGAAGCTCGGGGTCTTCTATCATGGCTTCTAAAGAAAGAAGTATGGCGCGCAAAATATCCACCAGTGTGTACCTGAGAATGTGAAGGGGAGATTCGGTTAGGAAAGGAGCATCAGCCACAGGGATGGAGAAGTTATGAGCATTCTCCCTTTGTCAAAAGTTTAAATCAAAGGAGTACAAATGTATCATCAGAAATCCTGGGTACATAAAGCTGGGAAAGCGTCCAAAGCTCAATTAGTCAAATTAATCCTCTGGAGCAGGATTATGTACATCTAGACCATCAGCCAGCCAGAGAAACTACACACCAAAAGCAAATTTGAACTTTTCTCTGGTCTCCTAAGCTGCTTTAATATCTTTACATTTTATTACATGTCTGTACAAGCGTTTCTATGCAAATTGTATTTTTCTAAAATCATAATGGTATCAAAACCTGAGTCTAACACCAAGAGCCTAGACCCAAAGTTTCCTCCTGTATTTTTCCAATGGAATGAAATAACAGTTCCTACAAAATTATCAACTAAAAAAGAAGTATTTCCACATGCTCCCCTTATCCCTCTCTTGGAAATGTTTTCTCTTAAATCCACAGTTATAGAAGGCTGATTACTCAAAGATTTTGAAAACAGAAAGTAACACACACTAGGGCTTTAAGGTGTTTCTGGCTAAGAGCAATAGCAACCTTTTAACTGTCTCCAGAGTACTGAGTACTTAGTATACCCCAAATTCTGTGGTTTCAGGAGTAAATTCGCAAAATGGTATTCCTAAGCTCCAGAACTGTCCACAATAAGTTTGGGTTTACAAAGATGCCACCAACAATATGTAATTACGTTTTACATATATGCACATAAACTATTCTTAGATTGATGATTTCGTAAAAGAATGCATCATCCTGTTGAGTGTAATCTTTATTTTTGGAAGCTAAAACACCTAATAGAGTCACTTAATAGCTTAAATATATACAAGCAATGTCATCTTTAGACTGTCTTATAATAAAGTTATTAACCAATTTGCAGTTTAGCTTGCTGGATTTTTTTAAAAAAAGGTCAAATATCAGAATTATCTGGTCTTTTTTAAGATATATCAAAGCAGTAGTTTAACTTTTGATTTTTTTCCCCTGGGTGAGCTATGCTTTATATGCTAAAATACTTTTTTAAATTAAGATTTTTTTACGGGGGCATATAGTGATAAAACAAGGGCAAATGGCTCCAAGATGAAAGAGGGTAAATTTAGATTAGATATTAGAAAGAAATTATCTCTTATCTGGTCTTTTTTAAGATATATCAAAGCAGTAGTTTAACTTTTGATTTTTTTCCCCTGGGTGAGCTATGCTTTATATGCTAAAATACTTTTTTAAATTAAGATTTTTTTACGGGGGCATATAGTGATAAAACAAGGGCAAATGGCTCCAAGATGAAAGAGGGTAAATTTAGATTAGATATTAGAAAGAAATTATCTCAGGGGAGGGTGGTGAGGCACTGGAACAGGCTGCCCAGAGAAGTTGTGGATGCTTCATCCCTGGAAGTGTTCAAGGCCAGGCTTAATGGAGCTTTGAGCAACCTGGTCTAGTGGAAAGTGATCCTGCCCATGGCAGGGGGGTTAGAACTAGATGATCTTTAAGGTCCCTTCCAACCCTAACCATTCTAGGATTCTAGGATTTTACAAATAATTACCAAAACAGACATAAATTCAACACTCCATACTACAGTATCAGATGAGGCATCAGAAAGTTAAACTAGGATCAGGTAAACAAATATTCCATAAACAGAACAAAGAGTTAAAATTTCAGTGTTTGTGCAGATATTTTTGAATAAGACCATTTAAATGTCTCCCATGATGGCATCAAACATAGAAGTTTTCAAAATTGTGAGTCCCCAGAGAATTCACCATACTGCATGTGTAGCAAAGAACATGTGTGCCTACTTAGAAATTACATTAAATTATACTGAATTGTACTTGCTGTAATACAATGAGTACAATGTTCTGTTGTGGACATAACTGTATTTTGAAAGTATCTGCAAAAAGAAATAACACAAATGAAATTAATCTGTTGTAACTGACTCCTTGCATCTTTCCATCTTCGTTTTTTTATAACTAACTAAAATGCAGTGAATTTCCCAGCTATGCATTGGTACTATGCATTGGTAGGAAAGGTACTGAAAAAGGACTCTCCTAACATCAGAACAAGAGAAAGTGTGCTTTCCCCAGAAAACATTTGGGGAAACATTGTTTTACACAATTCTTCATTTTGGAGACCCTTATTTTGTTTTGAATTTGATTTGATTGATTGGGATAAAATTTTTCATATTCACTCCTCTCCTTTGCACTTTTCTGAGATTTAACATTTTTCCAATGCTTTACTTTCCTGAGATCTAAGGATTACAGGAAGTTTGTCATTCTCCCTCCTTTTTGTTCACGTTTTTTCAACTGAGAGAGGAAATAGCACAAGAAAAATTGCCTGTAATTTTCCTATGGAAACCACCAAAACGCTAAAATTCTCTACTTCCTTTTGACAGGGGAAAAAAAAAGGAAAAAAAAAAAAAACAAGCAAAGAAAAAAAAAACCCACAACACTTCTGTAAATGGAATTTCATCCATGGAGAATAAAAGGACATGCCTTAAAACCTGTTTCAAAGAAAAATGTTCAAAATCTGTATCTATAAAACTGTTAGCGCAATTTGATCATCAAGGAACTGTAGGGCCAGGACCCCATTCTTGCAGTAGGCACAGTGCAACACACCTGGAGCACCTGCCTGCCCTGGGCAAACCTGCCTGTGGGCACAGGGTCTGGCACAGAGGGCCAACACCTCAGGCATGGTGTGGCTGATGCACCCCTTCTCCCCAGGCAGAGCAGCTCTCCCAAGCACAGCTGCTGGAGAAAATGCCACCATCACTGCTAAGACCTCCGAATAAACCAACAAACACCCACAGCAACACAGTGTGAAGAGCAACCTGGGGGAAAAGGAAATCATTCTTCGTTCCCAAACAAGTTTGCACGTGTATAACAGGGTGTGTAGGGAGTGCTCAGCAGCATAAAGACTACAGATGGTTGTAGTGGCACTAAAAGGCCTTAGCTTGCCTAGTGCATCTGCAGACCAGTCTACCTATCCAATATAACACTGGTGCATGGAGAGTGAAGGGCACCCAATCCACATGAGTACTGAAAATCCCCTGTATGACATGCACTTTGTACAAATGCCAGCATTCAGATTAAAAGGAGATTTACAGAGTCATGTTCAGGTTGGAGCCAGGTTCACAGAGTGGCTAACTGCCTTTAAACCCTTGGTTAACTCCCCAAGGTGATAGAAGTCTCAGAAATACATTTTTATAAATGCTCCATGAAATTAGATGGAGTTATGCCCCGTAAGAGACCTTCCCAGAGGAGGAAATGCTGAACTGGGAAGGAAATTACATCAGGTGAGACACCAAGAGAGTAGATCTTATTCAATCAGAGCTCATGCAAGGAACAGACATTAAAAATATGCAAATCTTAAAATTAGCCTCAACCCTACCTGACATTTATGCTGCCCCTTTCAGAGGATCTCATTCTCCAGAAGAGCTCCACAAAGCAGAAGGCTGCTACAAAAACCCTACATTCAGTCCAGAAAGATTGGTCCCGAGTTCCTGATGTACATCTCTAATGTCCTCCCTAAGGAGTTCAAGAAGACATTCAAAGCCATCGGAACTAGTAGCACAAGGCTGCTAGAAATATGGTGCATCAGACATAAAGATTCTTTGTTTATGAGGCCAATCAAATCTCTAAGACTGGCCATAAAATGCTTTTATGTATACCTAAGCGAAAAATACATAGATGTACACGTGCAAACTTAAATACACCTAATTGTGTCTTGAATTCATTCAAGTCAATGGAAAAACTGTCAGCCATCACTGGGATCAAGATTTCAGCCACCACAGAGAGTAAATAATGGTCACAGGGCTGGGTCCCCACAAACTGATGGCATATTCACCATCACTGTAACTTCTCTTGCAGGTTTCCTTAGTGTAAGGAAAAAAGTCCACAACAACAATGCCGATATTGTATGTTTACTTACTGAAAAAAAAAAGAAAAAATTCCTGAAGAAAACAGGTCTAGCTAAAAGCAAACAAGAACACTCTGCCAGGGGGAGGTATCTGAAGTACTCTTCTAGTCTAAAAAGCCATGTCAGGAGTATATAGGGACATGTCACTAACAATCAAACTCCCCACTTCAAATACCCTTCAGGGCAATTAGATGAAGTTATGAGCTATCCTTCATTCTGTACTGGATCACTTCTCTTGGTTTTGATACCCACTACAGTACTGAACACCAGAAAGACAGACAAATCCATTAGTGGGTATTTAAAGCAGCTTTTACATGACACATGGATAAGGCAAACCAGAAATGTAAACCTGGTGTGCTAGATGAAATCTTATGTGGTGCAAATGGCAAGATGAGTATTGAAAGTATCAGCTGAACAGCCCAAGCAAACAAAACACGATTGAAGAAACTGCATGGAAGATTTCACACAGCACAGAGTTATTTGCATAAAGAATCATCTTCAATCCACTCCAGGCTCATGCTGTCCAACATTTCGCCTTACTGTTACTACTTTTCATGTCAGCACCAGGATTCACAGGCTCTTCCATAAAATACACCCCATCCTTGGCTGGACTTCAGGGAAATTAAAATCCTATGTAAGAAAATAAGTTGGGAAAAAATCCAGAATATAGGACCACTCAAAAGTGAGAAAAACAGGATAAGCCAGTGAGTGCGAAATAAATTTGGTCCAAGATAGCTTTGATTGCCTCTCTACTTTGAAGGGGGGGAAAATCACCATATTAGCCTTAATTTGAAGAGACAATGGTGTACAGTCTGAGGGGAAGATGGTATTGTTATAATTTTACAAATCTGTGTTATTTAACAATGTGTATTTAGTGAACAGCAGGCCACTCATTTTGCTCTGGCCCCAGTTTTACAGTGGCTGCTTCAGTGCTGTCAGTTATGTAGGGTGTGCTGAGCCTGATTTGCTGCAATGCATGTTCAGTAGCAGCCTGGAGTTAGGCTGTGAAAAAATAAATCCTTATTTATTTATGGCTAAAT